TACACTGACACGGATATATATATATACAGTATTGAACAAAGAAGTCACATGACCGGAACTGTTGCGAAACAGTTAATACTTAGCAAAGACATTAATTTCATCTAATTAGCTCAAAAACTATTTCTCAGTTCTTTCTGTTAATGTAAAATATATTTTTATCTTTTACTGTAAAGAGTGTGGAAGATATCTTCAACTTTTTAGTTTATAACGTTTTTACTGTAGGCTTATCCTGATGGCAGTAACAAGGAGAGAAGAAGAGCAGCTATTGCTCAGTCTCTGGCTGGTGAAGTTAGTGTTGTACCTCCTGCTCGTCTCCTAGCTTTGTTGGGACAGGCATTAAAATGGCAGCAACACCAAGGTCTTCTTCCTCCAGGTAGGTTTTGATTGTGAGACATATATATGAAGAAGAACTCATCTGTTTGTTAATCTAAATTCTTGATAATGGAATATACCAAAAATTTACTTCACTGTATATCAATGCCATTAGCTGAGAACTTACTATTAAAGAAAAGGTCTTGCTTTTTGTGAACAATGTATAAAAGTACTGAAGATAATAATAATAAATAAATAAATAAATGAGTGCTCGTAGTTTCCTTCTCAAAATGGAACTTGTATGTAACACTGTCAGTTCTGAGTAAAATATATGAGTGCTAGAAATTTCTATAATATGCATGTTCTGGTACATATGTAAAATATCAGTTATATATTTTTCTTATTTACATGTTTCAAAGTATCATTCCAGCCTTCTGTAGAATAACTCACATGTCAGTACCTTCTGTGGACATTTTTGTATTGTTTTCAGAATATCAATTACATTATGCTGTGTTAGTTATTAAACACATTTGAATGTTTAGGCACAACCATCGATTTGTTTCGAGGTAAAGCTGCAATCAAAGAACAAGAAGAGGAAAAGTATCCCACACAGTTGTCCAAACAAATCAAATTTGGACAGAAAGCTCATATTGAATGTGCTAGATTTTCCCCAGATGGTCAGTACCTAGTTACTGGATCTGTAGATGGGTTCATTGAAGTGTGGAATTTCACAACAGGAAAAATCAGAAAAGATTTGAAATACCAAGCCCAGGTGGGATATAGTTTTCTTATTGTTATTATATAGATCTTTTTTTTAATATATTACATTTAGGTTTTATTATTTAAAAATAATTTTTAATTGTTATATGTATTAAAATAAAAACTAGGATTTTTATGGCCCAAATATAAGTTTCACAAAGTTGTTGTTTTTGGGTTTGTTTTTTATGTACCATAGAATATATATAATCTATTGTTTTAGAAATTCCCATGATTTCAGTACAGGCAGAAATATGTATAAATTCAAATTATCAGTTTTTGAAAATATAACTGATTTGATTAATTCATTTTGATTTCTCAATTGTTATCCATCAATCACAAAAAAACAGATCAGAAGAAAAGTAGTAGTAGCCAAAAAAATTACATTTTGAGCATTTACAAGTTTAGGTTTTTTTAGGTGCCACTGTTGATTTATTTTGAGGTAACAATAAAAATTGAAGACCTTGCTTAATCATAATCAGATGCACTATTCCCACATGTTTTTATGAAAAAAATCTTTCTTTTTTGTACAGACTTATTGCTAATAATTATCATGCATGATTAAAAAAACAAAACAATTCATTATTTTGACATTCAATTTATATTAAAGCCTTATAATAGATGTTGATCATTTTCAGTGTATTAAACAGAGAAAAATTTCTCATAATCTGGCCCCTTTATTTTATCTTATAAAATAACTAAATAATTTAAAGAAATAAATGTTTATTTGACACCTTTTTGTATTTTTTAGGATAACTTCATGATGATGGATGATGCAGTTTTATGCTTATGTTTTAGTAGAGACTCAGAGATGTTAGCAACAGGGAGTCAGGATGGTAAAATCAAGGTATAAAATTTTAAGAAAGTTGAATTTACTGTCTCTTAATTAACAGTATGTTTTTGTAGGATATAAATTGTAACTATACAGTACCATAACCTTTTACTTATTGATGAAATTATAGTAGTATAGAAGAATAAAACTACTCAGGATTTGTAAGAATATCATATAATTTATAAATCATTTACTCTTACAAACCTGAAGTGTAATCAAAATTGTTTCAATAATTTTCAAAAGAGTTTTAATAGTAATAATTTTTATATTGATTTTTATGTTTATATTTTGATAAGTTGTTTGTTACCTCACTACTCACATAAGTTTGAAATAAGAGAAAAATAAAAATTCTGATACAATACCTCACCCCCTCTCACATAGTAGCTTTTCTCAATCATTACTGCCCTCTATATGGGAAAATATTTGCTCGCCACAAACCTTAAGCTCCCATCTACCTCCATGCATTTACATATGGCACAGCTGCAAATCAGCATGCAACACACCCTTGTAGCATAACTGACTCCCTCTGTAATGTAGAACCCAATCTTCACTTTTTAATTTGGCACTGTTGTATTCAGGCGTATAGCTCGCCTCTACTGTGTATTTTATTTTTTGCAGATTTTGAGCTTGGCTTTCCTACATCATCATTAATTTTTTTTTTCTTTGATTTCCTATTTTGCTGTCTGAGAAAGTTCAAATGTGGATTGTATTGCCTACTCTTTTATAAAATGAATTATCATTTTACTATTATCATGACTTCCACCCTCACCAATACCACAGCTCAACAACCTGCTGTTGCTTCAGGAACGACCTTATCTGCAGAGGAGGTTTTGGCTCTTGTCTGCCATGAATTTCAGTCTTTCATGCGACCTGAAAGTTCTCCTGAACCTCGACCAGTTGTCCCATTCCCAGAGGAGGCTTGTCAAGATTATGAGGATTTTGACAGCCTTTTCCCACTTCCTTCCTTTGCCATGCAATCTCATTCTATGCCTTTAGACATACCTCAGCCTTCTTTTGCATTCCTGGATATAATGACACAGATTTGTTACATTTTGTTATTATCCCCTATGTCTTGTGATCCCTCCCCTTCTTTTTTGCATGATACCCCTTTCTCTGATTATTTAATTCTCCCTCCCTTTCCCAGTATTGGGGTTCATGCTAATTGTTTTGCAAATCATTAATTAATTCAGTAATTAAGTCATTAATTCAGGTTTGGGGTTTGGACCCCAAATACGTCCATTCATTTTTCTCAGGCCCAGCTTTCCTGCCTTTGTTTGACCCTTATCACCCTCCTTCGTCACCTCTCCTCCATGCACCTCCTCTCCGAGACTATCCGTAAGGGGTTTTTGGTGGAAACTCATTCCCTCCTTTTTTCCATGTTGGCATGCTTATCTTTCTCTGCCCTTTTCCTATGCACCTAGCTCCTTTGTTGTTGGGAATTTTTGGGTGGAGATGCACTTTTAGCTACTGTGAACCAACCCATGTATTTACGTTATTTATTTATGGCCCCTTTCCTGCATCAGCGCTTTTGATGATCTCCCAGATTTACTGGAGTCTCGTGTAGAGGCTGCTCAACAGCACACTTCCCAATCCTCCATTGTCACTTGTCTGTTGCAGCTTTCTCTTGCTCTTGTCTCTATCTCCCACCCTTCTTCCTCCTCTCCCTCACCTGTACCTTTGTCACAGGTTTCGGCGATCAGTTGACATTGCTCACCACTGACTCTCACACTGTTGATAGTTCTGATGACTATTTAATGACTACGGATCTCATTGGGGCTTGATTCTCCAGATTTGCCCCTCTTTGGGGCACCTTCACCTCAGATCCTTGGGTGTTTAGGTCTTATCAGAAGAACTATTGCTTCATTTTCTTGCTCCTCCTCCATTGTTTTTCTCTTCTGTTCCCTTTCCTATTCCTCCTTAGGATCCTCTTTCCAATGAGCATCTTTCTGAGGCAGTTCAGGATCTTTTTTCAAGGATGCTATTGAACCCATCAATCACCCTAGTTCAGGGTTTTATTCCCAGTTGTTCATCATCCCCAAGAAGACTAGTGCCTGGTCATAAACCTTTCCATTTAAACCATTACATAGACCTTCCTCATTTCACCATGGATTTTTTCTGTCTCTTTTACTCCAGGTCTTTGGATTATGAAGTTAGTTGTATTAGATGCATACCTTCACATCCCCATTTCCCCAGCATCCTATTGTTACCTTTGTTATGTCTACAAGGACTGAGTCTATCCAATCGATATTCTTTCATTCAGTCTAACTTTAGCTCTCTATATTTTCTGTTGGATTGTTATGGCTTTTTTCCCGTCTATTTCACTCTCACAGTCTACAGTTTCATCATTATATGGATGATTGGCTGCTTTTAGCTCCTTCACTACAAGCTTCAAACCACCACACACAGTTTTTCTTGGAAGAGATGCTCATTTGGGTTGGCTTATCAAGGTGGAGAAGTCCATTCTTATCCTGACCTAATATCTTGTCCACTTCAGAGATTTTTTCAACTCCCGTCTCAGTTGGCCCCAGCCTTCTCCCCAACAACTGCAGTCTATTGAGCTATTGGTTCTGAAGTCTCTGAAAGGTTCTATTCCTTTTGGTGACTCGGGCTTCTATTTAAGCTGTTATTCCCCTTGGTCTTGGTCACATTAGAGCATTCCAATGGAATTTGCATGATCAATGGAATCTCTTCAGGGATCTTCTGGATTTCTCTATCCTCCTTCCTCATTTCCCTTAAGTCAATTTTGCTTTTCCACCTCCCTGACCATATCTCCACCTTTACACTTACACTTCTCTGATGGGTTGGGGGTCTTTGGACTCTCAGGAAGTCATTGGTCTTTTGTCAAGACATTATCCCATATCAATCTTCTGGAACTCCTGGCATTTCGTTAGGCTTTCCTTCCTGTTTTGTGGAGCAAGTTGGTCATGATCCATTCCAACAACTTGGCTGTTGTCTCATACATCAATCGACAAAGCAGCATCTATTCATATTTCCTTTGTTTTCAAATATTAGATATCCTTTTCTTTGCCTATACCCCAATATGTTCACCTCTTGGCTTGTCATGTTTTGGGTGCTCTCAATCTTATTGTAAATTGTTTATCTCATCCCAACAAGTTTCTTCCTACAGAATGATCCCTCGATCCTCAAGTCTTCTGGTGGCTGTGTTCACAGTGGGGTACTCCTCTGCTGGATGCATTTGCCATCCACTTCTCTACCAAACTCTGCTGTTCTGGTCCCCAGGTCCATATCTTTTGGCTTTGAAGTTTAATACCTTCAGTCAGTACCAACCTTTACCTTTATGTCTACCCTCCTGTCCGTTTCATTCCCAGGATTTTGTCCATTATCCAAACCACTTCTGTGTTGGGTCCTTCTTATTGCTCTGTTCAAGCCACCACAACAATGGTTCCCATTATTTTAATCACTTCAGTCGTCATCTCCATTACTTCTTCGTTAATCCATATTCCTTCTTCACCAACCTCACTCATCTGTGTCTCATCCTGCCATTCCCACACTGTTGCTATACGCATGACTTTTGTCTGGTCCCTGACAAGGCTGTCCAGACTTTTCCACACATGTAGTCTGCCCTTCTTCCTTTTCGATTTGTCAGAGGAAATGACAAATCTTTCACTGTTGGTCTCTATGACTAGGTTTCCTACCCTCCCATCCCAGTATCCCTCATCTTTCCCATTTCTTCACAGGGCTGTTTGACAGTGGTCTCTCTGTATTGACTGCTGCAGGCTATAGGGTGGCCTTGTCCTCTCCTTTTTGTTTTTCCCACTTCTGCTTGTGTTTTCCTTTCCCATTTTCTCTCTTTTGTTTCAATCCTTATGTCTCCTCCATCCTCCTCGCCCCACACCCTTACTGGATTGGAATCTTAATGTCATTCTCCTTGCTCTTACTCTGTCTTCATTCAAACCCTTGTCTTCCTGTTCCCTATACCATATTTCTTTGATGACCTATTTCCTTCTCCTTTGGGCCTGTGGTCATCATTGGTTGGATGTGTTTGCCCTTTACGTATCTTATATTCTGTACCATATTACTAATGTTCTCCCTTATCCCAATTGCTCCTTCCTCCCTAAGACCTCAGCTGCTCATGAGGGAAGTTTTGCTTTCACACTGATTTCCCTACCTTCCATTTCCCATTTATATTCTTGTTGTGGTTAAGTTTGCCTTCTTTGTTCTGTCTGGGCTCGCAGGTGTTATGTGGTATACATGACTTTCTTCCATGGTTCCCATTCCTGACTCTTTCTCTACTAAAATTCTTCTTCCTCCCTTGATCTTTACACAATTATACAGGTTGGGTTTGCAAAGTTATTCATTTGGCTTATTCTTCCTTGTCCTCCAATATCTGTATTTTCCAGGTTGACCATGAGACCTCTTTGTACTCATTTAAAATCTTTATAGATTTAATACTTCTAACTTTCAATATATTGTGTATTATTTTCACAAAATTTAGTAGTCTTTTATTAATATTATAAGTCTTTCACATACAAAAAATTTTATTTTAATGAAGTATTTTAATAAAATAAAATAAAGATCTGTCCATTAATATGTTGAGTATTTGTTTTAAATAGTCCATGTTCAAAGTAATTTTCATGTTAAAATTAAAAATACTTTTCCTCATCTCAAATTTCCTTTGTGTAATCCCTAAAATCTCCTAAATGCATTTCAAACGTTTTTCTTCAGTAAAACTTTATAATTTATCTGTTATTTTCTCTACTCTATCTGAAAACGGGATTGGTCAATTTAACTGATCTAGTAACCACCAAAAAAACCAAATAAACCTAAATTACCCTTTTTTCTTTCTAGAATGACTTCAAATTGTAACATGAAACTACATTTGTTTATCCTTAGTAGCTCTAAGTTCGTAACATTATACATCTATTTATAATTAAATTTTATTTTTTGTTGCTAGTTGAACTGTATCTAACTAGTATCTGCACCATTATAAGTTGTAAATCACTCTGGGAACATGCAGCTCACATTATGCTAACGAATTACATTACCCACGAGCTGGTTGGATGTGTGCCTCATGAAACATTTGTATTATAATATTATTATTATTTATTTTACCTAATATAATATTAACCAACCTAAAAGGATCCCTGTTTTTACATTTTAGTTACTTTTATACTTATGCATAAAGAATAAACATGAAAAACAATAAATAAAATACTTAACTAATGTTTTTTTCTTGCTGTTGGTTTTCGAGGAGAGTTAACCCAAATTTTTTATGTCTGTAGATAGTAATGCACGTAATAATTTTATTT